AGTTATTTATTATCTTTTAAAAAACTTTATTCCTAGCTGCAGCATGTTTCTTTAAAAGTTTTATGTTTTATTTAAAAGCTTAGAGCATAAGCTATATTTAATGTTCTTTTAGCGCGTCTAAGTAGTGTTGTTAAGAATGCATTAGTGTAAAAAAAGTAGTTTAGTAGGGTTTTAGTAAAAGTAAGCAACTTAGGTGTGTAAACAACTCGCCTGTAAAGTACGTTAGTAGGCTATTTTTTATTTTAGTAATAACATCTCTCCCCTTAATGCTCTTAATCTTGTATAGGCTAGTCTAGCCTTTCTTCTCTCTCTATGCTATAATCTTTAAGCTAAGAGAGAGGTTAAGAACTTTATGTGTTATAAGGCTGTTATAAGTATTAATTATATAATTAATGTTTACTTTTATATAGTTTTTTTAAAGTATTTTTATTACTTTTTACATAGCGCTTGCTTATGTGATAATATTTAGCAATAGTAAAAAGTTTAAGTTAATTTTTAGGTATGCTTTAAAGACTAGCAGCGTGGGTACTAGACTATGCAGGCTAGCTGTGTTGTTTAGAGCCTTAACTGCTATCTATAGGATAGCCTTATTATCTATATAGTTACCTAGCTTAGTCTTTAAGATGTTAAACACTTATTAGAGAGGTGTGTGCGCGCGCTTAACTTTTCTAACTACCTAATATGCTTTTATAGGCATCTGCTTATGTTAGATTAAAGCACTGTTTCTAGGCTTCCTAAGATGAATGATGGGTTTTAGATATGATGTATAGGATGATGATTAATTGTATTGATTTATTAATGTTTCTTTTTCTTTTTGTCTGCTCTGCTCGTGTTGCTCGGCTTTGTTTTTCCAGTCCGAGTCCCTCGCGCACTAGCCCTATGCGCGACTAGCTGCAACATGCTGCAATTTGCAACAACATACTGTTCGAGCTTATTGCTCGTACTATGTAGCAGCTTTCGTCCAGCGTTCCTCCTGTCTTAACAGTAGGTGTGCATATCTAACAGCTTACATGTAGCTTTTATAATTTTTATATAAGCTTAAAAATTCTCTAACGTAAAGTTTATACTAGAGTTATGCATAATGTAGTCTAAGGGTCTCTAATAGGTGTTAATCTAGCATTAGCATAGTGCATCCTAGGTATCTTATGCAGACATAGATTTTAGGAATGTAGCAGCCTAAAATAATATATCTATATTAATAACATGTAACGTACTTTACAGGCAAGTTGCTTACACACCTAAGTTGCTTACTTTTACTTAGAGCCTACTAAACTACTCTTCTTACACTAATGTATTCTCTACAACACTACTTAAACGTGCTAAAAAAATGTTAGATATAGCTTACGCTCTAAGCTTTTAAATAAGATATAAAACTCTTAAAATAATGTGCTACAGCTATATGCAGAGTCTAATAAAAGAAAATAAATAACTATAGTGCTAGATAACCTTTACAAGCTAATTCTACAGCTAAATTATAAAGGCTAAGTAATAAAAAGAAGTAAGTAATTATTAAGACTATACTTAAGCTATATGCGTAAAGAATTTCTTTTTAAATAGCATTTATAGCTAATCTAGCTAATTCTTTAGGTGTTAAGCGTAATCTAGGCTATGTTTATATAAACTAGCCTAGTATGTTTATATAAACTAGCCTAGTATGTTTATATAAACTAGCCTAGTATGTTTATAAAGCGTAATTTAGAGCTTAAAGTAATATTTAAGCATAAGTATAACTATAAAAGAGCTTTTTATAAGAGTTCTAAAGTAATTTAGAGTAGGTTTAGCCTTATAGAGAACATTAAAGCTAAGTATAGCATCTAGAATAATAACACGTACAACTTTAGTAAGACAGGCTTTATAATTAGCTAAATATTTCTTAACTATACTAATGCTTAAAACTTTACTTTAAGCTTTAAATAACACTTTATAAACATACTAGGCTAGTTTATGTAAATATAGCCTAGATTACACTTAATGTGCAAAGAATTAGCTATATTAGCTATAAATGCTATTTAAGGGGAAATTCCTTACGCATATAGCTTAAGTATAGTTTTAATAATTACCTACTTCTTTTTATTACCTAGCTTTTATAATTTAGCTGTAGAATTAGCTTATTAAGGTTATATAGTGCTATAGTTATTTATTATCTTTTATAAGACTTTACACATAGCTGTAGCATATTTCTTTAAGAGTTTTATGTCTTGTTTAAAAGCTTAGAGCGTAAGTTATATCTAACATTCTTTTAGCACGCTTAAGTAGTGTTGTAGAGAATGCATTAGTATAGGAAAAGTAGTTTAGTAGGGTCTTAGTAAAAGTAAGTAACTTAGGTGTGTAAGCAACTTGCCTGTAAAGTACGTTAAATAACTTTTATAAGCTAATTTTATAGCTAACTTATAAAAGCTAAATAAGAATAAAAAGTAAGTAATTATTAAGTATATACTTAAGCTATATATATAAGAATTTATTCTTTTAGCTAGTAACTATAGCTAATAAGCTAATTCTTTGCGCGCTAAGCATAATTTAGGCTATATTAGAATAAACTAGCTTAGTATGTGTCTTATACAGCTATCTATCTATATATATTCTTCTGCTGTGCTAGCTAGAAAGTTAACCTTTTTGTAACCGCAACAGTTATAAGCCTAGTTTATAGCAGAATGTAGATAGTTAGCGTATAAAAATTTTTACACCCCTGCTTTACTAATAGAATTACATGATTTCTAAGCACTGTGTGTTTAATTTCTATGCTTAGTAAAAAGCATTTAGGCAGTGCGTTAATTACAGAGGCTACCTTACTAGATCTGTCTCTAAGTTCTATTACTTAGGCTACAAGAGTGTGTTAAAGTTGTTTCACCTCTCTTGTTCTACTGTTTAAGCTAGGGGGTGTGTCGCATACAGCTATCCATCTATATATATCCTTCTGCTGTGCTAGCTAGAAGGTTAACCTTTTAGCAAACGCAATAGTATGTTTCTAAAGTGTTATTTAAAGCTTAAATTAAAGTTTAAGTATTTAGTTGTACCTTCCCTGTAGCTAGCTTTGTAGTTTTCTAATATCCTTTTGTACGAAGCCTATAGGCGTTAATGGTATTCCCAGGTCATTGAGTCCCCACGCACTCCCATATGCCTCTAAGTAGATTCCTACTGCATTCGGACCCATTGTCTTGCCTGCGCCGTTACATTATATCAGAAAACTACCGAGCTAGCTACAGGGAGGTACAACTAAATACTTGGGGGAATAGGGGTACAGCAGGGGGCAGGGCAGGGTCGGGACCAGGTCGGGGTCGGGGCCGATACGAGGACCTTCCGGAGGTTCCGAGATGGAACGATTCCTAAGAATCGTTACAGGACAGGCTAAGCATGTTAGTTATCTAGCTGTTATTACTTACTGTAATTATCTAGTTACTAGGGATATTATAATACTAGCTAGCCTAAAAGGGCTTAGCTGTAAGGATAATAAGTAGCAGAATTAACTACCTAGACATGTTAACATATTTAATTATTATAACCTACTTATAATTACTAGGCTAAATAGTAGCTACTTATCTAATGTAATTAAAGCTAGTAATAACCTTTAATATATAACTAGCAACCTCTATTATAAATCTTATTATATTAAAATTATAGGTATCTTTATCTAGTATTCTATACTTTAGCTGTGTTGCCTTTATAAGATTAAACTAAGCATAAAACTTAACTAGATTCTAGTAGAGAGCGCGCTAAAATGCATTTTCCTATTCTACTTTATCTAAAGCTCTTACTAGGGTGTTAACAAAGTATAATACCTAGTTCTTGCCTACTAGACTAGAAGAAGAATCCTAGCTGCAAGCTTAGAGTAAACGTCTGCTATTTAGCGCATGTTAATAATATAAGGCAGAAATCCTTACTAATTAAAGTCTAGTATCTAGTAGACAAGGGACTACTTTTTAACAGGTAATAGCTTTTATTTTTACGTTAGTAATAGCCTTTAATTAGGCTCCTGCAAGGCGCGTTTAGAGTGTTAATTAAAGCGTGTTATACAAAGCTGCAACACAATTAATAGATAAATCTAGGTGGCTTTAAAAGACAGAGGTAGTTAGAATTAATCTGCCTTCTTTGCAAGCTAATTAGAGCGCTGTGGTAGTAGAGGCATCTTAGTAGAGAGAGGCACGTTGATTGTAGTAGGGCTGCTGGATGAGTGGTGTGGCTAGGTGAGTAGTAGATTACGTTAAAGAGTAGTTGCAGCATAATGCTTAGTAAAGTAATATTAGACAGGTAATAGATATATAATAATAAATGTCACGGTCGGCATGCTCAAGCTACAAGCAAGAGGTGGTGTAACTTAACTAGATTAAACTAAGGAGCAGAGGAGCTGCTCTGCGAGTTTAAATATACATGTGCGCCCCCTGCCAAGGCGCTACTCGTAGCACTAGCGTGCTACTCGTTGCGCAAGCGAGGGAGCTGATGCCGCAGAGCATGTGACGCGGTACGCGCCGTCACAATAATATTTAACTACAGCACGCGACTAATTACAGCCTGCAACTAAGTATAGCTAATGCTAATCCCTAACACACTAATGTAGCTAGAGAGGTGGAATAGATGTAACTATTTATAATTTAAACATGTTTTATATAACACATGCTAGAGCAACCTGTGTGCAAATTAACCTAAAAGTGCACTTATATTAATTATACATTTTTGTTAAAAAAAGAATATAAGCAATATATAAAGTGTAGAGAATAAAATAGCCTGGCAGTAGCTGTTTAGAAGATTAGATAAAGTGACTCCGCTATCTAAGAGAGCTGAAGGCTCTCCTTATATACACTAAGCTTTAGAACATAATATCTCTAGATCCTAAGCTACGTCCTAGGCTCTAAGCCCTAGTCCTAGGCTCTAAGCCCCAGTCCTAGGCTCTAAGCCCTAGCCAAGGCTCTTAGTATACGCGACACACCCCCTAGGTGAGCTGCGCAGCAGCTTACCTGCGTTAAGCGTTAACTTAGCTTGTTAAAGCAGCGCTGTGTGTTTACCCTATGTTTATGCTTATTGCCCTAAGCAGCGTGATGCTTGTTTCCCTAGGCAGTGCAGGTCACGTGCGTGCTGTAATTACTATAATAGAGGTAAATAAATTTTCCTGCTTCTTAAGCTCTTATTCTTTAGATCTAACTAACATACTATGTGTAAGTTAATGCTTTTAAGCTCTAAGAATAACTTTAACCTTATTTATAATCTCTACTAACGTGCATTTGTAGCTTAATAAAGCTAAAAAAGCTGCCTACTTGCGTGCCGCTGCTCTGCGGGGCTGCGCTGCCCGCAAGCCCGCGCCCACTACCCCCTGCCGGCGCCCGCTCCCCGGCCCGGCCTCCACTCCCCGCCGGCCTCCCCCTAGTGCGCTCCGCGCGCAGTCCTGTCTAGGCTGCATAAAGAGTGCGCTTATAAAGCGCTCTAGTAAAAAGTGCTATAATTCTGCTACTAGTAGTTTACACTGCTAGCGCTGTTTCTCTAGGCACAGCTGCCTGCCCCTATAAGCCTTATAGTAGTGTGTAGGGTAATCTAGCTTTTAACTTATTTACAGTCCCCCTGTTACTATTATGTATACACAGCGCTTTATTACAGCGCTTATTACAGAGAACAAGTAGGTAAGCTTCTCTATAAAGATTATATGTTATACCTTAGAGTAGACTAACAGGCTATAGGCTATGTTTTAGCTTTAGCTAGTTCTTTAAGCTCTGCTTAAAAAAAAAGTAAAAAAAGAGAAGAAAAAAAAAAGTAAAAAAAAGAAAAAGTAAAGTAACATTTCTCTTAAGCTCCTAGCGCGTTACTAGTGCGCTAAGAAGCTTTTAGGTAAGCTTATTAATCTTCTTATAGTTTAGGCATTTTATGTTTTTACGCATCTTATGTACTAAATCCCTGCTTAAACTTTATAGCATAGGGGAGTGTCTTTGCTAGTAGATAGAACTTTTGTTTTTAAGTAGTGTAAAGATATTTTTACTATTAATAATTAACACTTTCTTTTTTTAAAAGCTTATTTATATGTCTTTAAAGTTAAAAAGCTACTTAAAGTGCTTAAATTACTATTTTAGTAAGTGCTTTATAAGTCTATTTGCTAGCATGTTGCTTATTTTAATATAGCGCACTTTAAAAGATCTCTTTGTATGCTTCTAGCGCAGCCACATGTTCTAGATATAAATGTAGTGTTAGTAGGTAGTTATCTAGGCGTTCTTTTTTACTACTAACTAGATTGTCTGCTAGTTGTTACAGTATATCTACTATAGTATGCCTAGCTTTAAAGTAAGCTCTTTAAAAAAGCATTTTAAAGCTGGTAATTTTTTTATAATATGCACTAAAGTAAGTAGCTTAGCTTTTATTATAAATATAGTTACTATTAGCTAAAAAGCTACTTTTTATAAAATTAGTTTTTTAAAAAGTAAAATAATATATTTATAAAATAATTATCTAGTCTTTACATAATTAGTAAAAGATGTGTTTTTATATATAATAAGTTACGCACCTTTTAGTGCTCTATACTATATGCTTGTATACCTTATGCAGTATAGATACATAATTGCTTAGTTTACTGCTTAAAAGTGCTGCTTTCCTAGGTTTATTAGGTAGTAGAAAAGCTAGAATGCTGTAAACACTATATTAGAGCGCACTATAATTATAGTGTAAAGTGTTAATTTTATGCACTTTTAGTATTCTTTAATTTTATACTTTAATGCTAATTTTTAGTTACTTATAAGCTTTTTTAATAGTAAAAAAGTCTCTAGAAAATGTGCACTTTTTATAAAGTTAAACTTTTTTACTACTTTTTTAATATACATGTTATGTACTAGCTAGATTATTCTAGCCTTTTTATTTTTAATTATTTTAATTTTTAAAAACTATTTATAAAGCTTTTAATTTTCTAGTTTATTTTTTTTAATTACACTAATTAATTAGTAAGCTTCTAACTTATTATTATAGTAATAAATATAAAGTATGTTATTTATATAAAAAAAAGTAAAATATAGTATTTATAGTTAAAAAATAAGCATAGTTTCTTTTTAAATAAAATAAGCTTAAGCTTTTAAAAAGCTTATAAAAGCTTTTAGTACTATAAAATTAGTAAGTTACATAGTCTATATAAAGCTTATAGAAGCTTAACACACATGCTAGGCTTTATAAAGCTTTTTAAAAGCTTACATGTTACTTTTAGCTTACCTTTATAGTATATGTTTAAAAACATGCTTATAATATTATATTACTTAATTTTTAAGTTAAATTAAGCTACTATTACTATTACTATTTAGAAAAATCTAGCTATAAGAGTAGTAGTATAAGTTAATTAGAGTACATCCTTACTCTAAAGATTACTATGTATGCATATATAAGCTTTATATTTAACAAAATACTTATTTTAATTAAATTTATATATAAAGACTTACTTTAGTAAAAGCAGCTTAAATATTACTTTAGTTTATATAATCTTTTTTAAGTGCTTTTTTTAAGTAAAGTAGCTATTTTTTTATACTATAATTTTAAAAAAAATTTTATATAAGTGTTTATATAAAATTTTTTATTTTAAGAGTTTTTTTAGAAGCTTATAAGCTCTTAGTTAAAGCTGCCTTAAAAAAGCGGCTATAAAAAACACTATGTAAAGCGTTTTAAGTGCTTTATTATTATAAGTAATAAATGCTTTAAAGAAGTTTATTTAAAAGTGCTCTAGATTAACTAAAGTAATGCGTATACTACTTCTCTCTAAAAGTGTTATATATATACCTTTGCTTTCTACACCTCTAGGCTTACTTAGGTTATTAAGATCTTGCCTTTATATTTTTTTAGCTTATATGTGTAGCTAGTCTTTAGCTTTTTTTATTATACACATATTTAAAAAGTGCCTTACTTACTTTAACTAAAGCTATAAAAAATAATATTTTAGTGTAAAAAGTAAAAGTTAATTTTTTAACTAGTAAGTTAGCTATTTAACTTAATAAGCCTAGTAAATCTACTTCTTTAGTTAAGTGCACTTTTTAGAAATTACTAGTATGCTTATGCCTACTCTATATAAGGCGTGTTGTAGAGCTATTTATAAGCTCTAGCTTAAAAGTTAGCTTTAAGGTAATAAGTGCTATATGTTTATTAAAAACTATGTAAATTCTTAGTAACTTACTTAGTATACTTATTACTTATGTAGTTACTTCTACTTTTAAGTGCTAATCTTTTAGCTAGCTAACTTAAGTTTTAATAAAGTTTTTAGTTTTTACACTTTTAAGCTTACACTTTTAAAGCTTTTAAATTAGTATATTACTTTACTACTTATCTAGCTTTTAAAGTAAAAGCTTAAAGGCTTCTTTTACATTATAAATTTTACTTTACTTATTAAAATTTTTAAAAATTTTAGAGGCTTTTTTTTAAAAAATTAGCTTATTACTTTTATTTTTATAAAAGTGTGTCTTATTAAAAGCTATGTTTTTTATAGTAATTACTTAGTTAAGTAATAAGACTTATATTTTATAAATATTTAAAGCTTTATAGCTTATAAAATATTTTATATAGCTTTATAAAGTTACTTTAAAGCTTTACTTTTAACACTTAGCTACTTACTTCTTATTAAGTAGGTAAGTGTAACAGCTATATGTGTAAATCTTGCTCTAATTAGGCCTTAAATTAGCTATAGTACTTCTTACCTACTCTAGCTTATAATATTTAAAGTAGTTAGTAAACTATGTGTCTAAGACTTTATTTAGTAAGCATAAGCTATATACATGCAACAGGCTTATATTATATAGCTATGTTGCTGTGTCTACTACTTCTAGCTAGAGCTTTTTAGAGAGTCCTACACTGCTTTTTATTTTAATAGACTTTATAATTATTTTTTATTTAGCTTTTTTTATAGCTTTATTTAGCTTATAAGTGTATAGTAAAAAGCTTTTAATATTAATACTAGATTTCTTTAATTAAAGCTTATACCTTAACTTTCTATACTAAGGGAGCGTAGCAGTGTTATTATTTTACTATATTTTACTAATTTAAAGCTTATATTAATTAGACACTATACTTTTAAAGTTCTTTATTACTTTTTAGATTTCTAAAAGTGTTTTTACCTAAAGAAAGTATAAAAAGATTTTACTACTATATTTATTTTTAATAATTATTATCTATAGAGCTCTGCTGCGCTTTAATAGCATATTAAACATGTTCTATGCAATTCTCTAGAATAGGCAGGGAGCTTGCTCTTTTAGTCTTCTTAATATTGTAATAAGGTAGGCGCCCTACCTGCTAAGCTAATACTATACAACTTTCCCTACTGTACTAAAAGGTACGCATAAGAATACTTAAGCTAAGTATTCTTACATAGTATAATATATATATAGGTAATGCTAGAGTAAGCACAAGCACTAGCAGTTGTCTTTAGCCTAGCCTAAAGATTTATAAGCAAGAGAAGGCTACATAGTTAACTGTGCTAACCTTATTACAAATATAATCTACTTAGTATAGGTTGTTATGCAGTGCTTATAGCGTACTTACTTTATACTTATTATTTATACATTCCTTACGCTTTTAACTAGAGCCTATAAAGCTTTAAAGCCTAGGTGTCCTACATGCGCATGCTAGAGCTCTTCTAAGTCTAAGTATAAAAATGTAGTTTATAAGTGTTAGCAATTTAAAAGCACACTTTACACTAGTAAGTAAAAAAAAATAGCTTTATATTTAATAAATATAAAGTTATATTTTTAGTAAAGTGTTATAAGTACCTTATTCTTTTCTAGTGTGCTTATGCGCAGTGTATAGTTAAGTTTTAAATACTATAATTGTCTGTACGCAGCAGCAGCGTCGCGGCCTGGATACGAGCGATCACGCACGAGCAGGATCACGTATCTATGTCACATGATGCTCGTGCGCGAACCTCTGTGCGCGAACATCTAGATATCCCCCTTTTCCTCTGTACAGAGGAAAAACAAGAAGCAATTAACACTAGTTACCTAACACCCCTATGTAATGTTTACACTGTGCAAACCTCTCTGTCTTGTACGCATTTGCTAACACTAAGTGCTAGCTAGCAGAGAGTCTATTTAATACTAATTAGTAGTTTAAATACTATAAGAAAGAAAGCTTTTCTTATACTTTTCTATTTAAAAGTTTATATATAAAAAAAATTCTTTTCCTTACTACTTTAACTATAAATTAGTAAGAGTAAAGATAGAGTTTAATTTATATGTAAGTAGCTATAAATCTTTATTTAGTTACTTAAGCAAGAGTAAGAAACTTGTCTGTATAATACTATTTAAAGGTATTATATAAATAGTAGTGCTTATTTAATGCTAGAAGGTCTGTTTTATTTTTTTACACAAGGCTGTTTAGAGGCAGCGTACAACAAAAAGTAAGACAGCGCGCAACAACGCATAACTAACTACTATAAAGCAACAAGTAACACCAGCTCTATCTATAACTAGCTAGCATAATGTATTAACATATAACTAATACATACTTTTTATAGGCATTTTAGTAAAGACCTTAGCAAAGCAAATAAATATTAAAAATTAAGTAAATAAAATTAAACTATTAGATAACATACTTAAAAAAAAGCTTAATTTATACACAGCTAACTTAATTATAGAACTTTATGCATTAAGCGCAATAGATATATGTACACTTAAAAACTTTTAAGATAACTTTATAAAGTAAAAGCTTATACACTTTAAAGATCTTAGCTAACTATTTCTATAAAAACTAATTACTACTCTATAGAACAAA